AGCAGGAAGCGCTCCAGAGACACGTAGGATTGTCTCTGCTGGAACTGCCCAGCCTTCAAGAAGCTGCGGACAGCTACTTTTATTAGGGAGTTTTACATTTTACTTATTTTTTGAAATTAAAACCTGACCTCCCTCTGATGGTCTGAGTTTCGCCTTTGTAGGAACAGTGGGCGATTAATGTCATTGACTCAGAACTTTGTTTTAACGTCATCTTGAAAGCTGTCATTTATAACCTAAATGACCAAGCACAGGAACTTGGCCAGAGTAAATGGCGATACATCCATGTGGCAAAACATTATGTAGTTACAGAAAACGCCGTAGAAATATCTGTTGACGCAGCAGGATGTTGCTGATGTCACCCATGCGTTCATGGGGATAGAGCACCTGCTGCATGCCAGCTCTGTACCAGGTGCCAGGAATACAGCAGTGAGCAGCAGGTGTGGCCGCTGTCCGAGACGCTTGCTCCTACTTGGGGAGACACAGTCACAAATGCGCGTACAGTGTAAGCCTATCGTACGTCCTGACGGAAGCTGCCTCGTCTGATGATCACTCGCCACCTCCTTTGTCTCGTTTTTAGGGGATTTCTCAAGCCGCCAGATATGTGTACCAACGACTCATCAACGATGGGATTTTGAGCCAAGCCTTCAGCATTGCTCCTGTGAGATTTTAATTTTTTTTAATTTTCCTTCTGTCATTAGCTGTTTGGTTTTTTAACCTTTACTCATTCTACTTTTGTCCTCCAGGAATACCGGCTTGTCATCGTGGGCCACAGCCTGGGAGCGGGTGCTGCTGCCCTACTGGCCATCATGCTCAGAAAAGCATACCCAGAAGTCCGATGTTATGCCTTCTCCCCGCCCAGGGGGCTGCTCAGGTCTGTTCTCCTTCTCATAAGTCTAACAGGTGCCATGTACCAGCCATATGGTTCAGGCGGGCCTTTTACTTGTAATTTGATGGTACTTTTTCATCCTCAGGAGAAGTTTGCTTTCAATTACTATTTAGTTGAAGAAAGAATGAACAGCCTCTCATAGGTCTGACCATGGCTTTGATTTCCTAGATGATATAATGCTAAGATTCATTTTTTTATATTGAGGTCTAATTGACAGACAACATTTTTAGTTTCGGGTACACAGCATAATGATTCAGTATTTGTGTATACTGCAAAATGATAACAATCTAGTTAACATCTATTACCACACATCGTTACAGAATTTTTCTTGTGATGAGAACTTCTAAGATTTACTCTTAGCAACTTTCAAACACGCGATACAATATTATTAACTGGTCGCTATGCTGTACATTACATCCCCACGACTGATTTATTTTAGAGCCGGATGTTTGTACCTTTCGACTCCCTTCACCCATTTTGCCCCATCCCCCACCTCCAGTAACCACCAGTCTGTTCTCTGTATCTGTATCTGAACTGTATCTGAAGTGAGATATGGTATTTGTCTTTCTCTGACTTACTTCACTTAACATAATACCTTCAAGGTCCATCCATGTTGTTTCAAATGGCAAGATTTCATTATTTTTTATGGCTGAATAATATTCTATTATCTGTGTGTGTATACATACAAATACATTTTCTTTACCCATCCATTTGTTGACAGACATTTAGGTTGTTTCCATATTTTGGCTGTTGTAAATAATGTAGTGAACATGTAGGTGCATATACCTTTTCAAGCTAGTGTTTTCATTTTCTTCGGATAAATACCCAGAAGTGGAATTGCTGGATCATGTGGTAGTTCTATTTTCAATTTTGGGGGGAGCCTCCATATTGTTTCCCACAGTGGCTGTGCTAAATTATTCCCCCAACAGTGCACAAGGGTTCCCTTTTCTCTACATCCTCCCCCACTTTTTTTTTTTTTTTTGGTAATACTCATTCTAACAGGTGTGAGGTGATATCTCGTGATTTTGATTTGTGTTTCCCTAATAATTAGTGATGTTGAACATTTTTTCATGTACTTATTGGCCATTAGTATGTCTTCTTTAGAGAAATGTCTACTCAGGTCCTCCGCCCATTTTTTAATAGGATTTGGTGTTAAGTCCTGTGAGTTCCATACATATTTTGGATATTAGCCCCTAATTGGATGTATCATCTGTGAATATCGTCTCCCATTCAGTGGGTGGTCTCTTTGTTTTGTCGATGGTAACTTTCAAAAGCGTTTTAGTTTAATGTAGTCCGATGTGTTTATTTTTCTTTTGTTGCTCTTGCCTGAGGAGACACATCCAAAGTAGATACTGCTAAGAGCGATGTCAGAGTTTACCACCTGTGTTTTCTTCTAGGATTTTTATGGTTTAAGGTTTTACATTTAACCCATTCATCCAGGTCTTTAATCCATTCCGAGTTTATTTCTGTATATAAGTCCAATTTTATTTTTATTTTTGTATGCATCTGTAGTTTTCCCAACACCAGTTACTGAACAGACTGTCTTTGCCCCATTGCATGTCTTTGCCTCCTTTGCACATTTTTGTCAATGCTTTTCTGCATCTGTTGAGACGATCATAATAGTTTTGTCTTTTAATTTTGTTAATAAGCAAGGATTTATTTCTGGATTCTATTCCGTTGATCTATGTGTGTTTTTATGCCAATACCGTACTGTTTTGATTATTGTAGCTTTGTAGTATAGTTTGATATCAGGGAGTGTCATACCTGCCACTTTGCTCTTTCTCAGGATTTCTTTGGTTATTCAAGATCTTTTGTTGGCCCCCAAATAATTTCAGGATTACTTGTTCTAATTCTGAGAAGAACGCCATTGGTATTTTAATAGGGATTGCATTGAATTTGTTTATTGCCTTAGGTAGTATAGGCATTTTAACAATTATTAATCCTTCCAATCCATCAGCAAGGTGTTTTCTTCCATATATTTGTATATTCTTTAATTTTGTTTCTTAATGTTTTATTACGGCTTTCAGAGTATGGGTCTTTCACCTCCGGTTAAATTTATTTCTAGGTGGTTTATGCTTTTTTATACAATTATAAATGGAATTGTTTTCTTACTTTCTCCCTCTGATCGTTTTTGGTGTAACAGAAACACAACAGATTGCTGTATACTGATTCTGTGTCCTGAAACTTTACTGAATTCATTTATTAGTTCTAGTAGTTTTTTTGTGTGGAATCTTTAGTTGCTGAAAAGACCATTAAAATGTTGTGTCCCTTTGCAGTCAGTTCCTTCCTCCCACCCCGAGGCAAACACGAGCTACTTTGTGTCACTGTAGTTTGCTGTTTCTAGACTGTCACATAAATGGAATTTTACAAGATGTCATCTTTTGTACTGTGCTTTTACTCAGCAAGGTGCATCTAGGTTGCATGAATGTTTGCTTTATTATTCTTAGGTGTGTGTAGGATTGCCTTAATGTATCTTGCTTGAAATTTATTAGACTCTTGAATCTGTGAAGTCTTAGTCATTGTCTTTTCGTGTATTACCTCTACTTTGTTCTTTTTTTTGGGACTCCAACTGGGTACATATCACACCTTCTCATTCTAGTTGAGTCTCTGGCGTCTCCTCCCTGTCTTCTGTGACTTCGTTTCTATGTGCTACATTCTGAGTATTTTCTTTGGATCTTTTTCTAGTTCACTAATTCTCTCTTCAGTTGCTTATGATGATCTTTTAAAAATATTGTTTTATTATGGAATTTTCAGATGTCGAAATTCAAACAAAAGTGGAGAATAGTGTAATGAGCCCACCCATTTAATCAGCTTCCCTAATTTATTAACATGATTAATCTCATTTCATAACCCACCCTACTTCCCAGATCTCGTTTTCTTTTAAATCAAATCTAGACATATCATTTCCTCTGTAAATACATTAATATATCTCTAAAAGATGCTTTAAAAAAGTAACAACTCCTTGATTCCAGTAATTGATTCCATTCTCCCAATTACCTCACAGCTGTTTTATTTGAATTGTTGATTTGTTGGAATTCAGGTCCGAGCAGGGCTCTCATACTGGGCAAATGTCTTGTAACTGTTTTCATGCACAGCTTTTCCCTCCCATCTTTATTTCTGGAGCCAGGTTGTCGGTTCTGGAGAATCTACATTCTGGATTTCTCTTGTGTACTCAGTGTGGTTTAACACGTTCCTCTGTCCCCTTGCTTGTCTGTATGTCATAGAAGATGGTAAATACGTCCAGAGACTTGATCAGATTCAGAGATTTCTTTTTTCCTGGCTCCATAGTCATTTTATTTATTTTTTAAATTTTTTCCTTGTCCCCTCTCCCCTCTGGTAACCACTAGTCCATTGTCCATGTCTCAGAGTCTCTCTTTGTCCTGACGCTTTTAGGTATGTATCGGATTCAGAGGTTTTTTTTGACAGTACACCTCAGTAATGGTGTGTGATCCCTGCTGCACCACACACATCAGAGGCACGTGTCTGCTTGTCTTTGCTGTGAGCAAGTAACGGTATGAGAGGCTGCAAAATGTTGCTGTTCTGTTTCTAGCATTCCTTCTGCATTTATTAGCTGAAAATTATAAAGAGCTTTTTCTTCAGGGGTCTGGTACTGTGAGTTGGGTCACACAGGAAAGGCATTCACTCTGCCCCGGCCGCAGTGTTCAGAACAGTGGCCATGCAGCTGTCTCCAGAGGCGGAGTTACTACTTTACGCTGCCGTTATAAACTCGGCCTTAAACATCTTTGTTCAAAGTTTTGTTGAAGTTAAAGTCCATCGCAGTCATTCTTTTGATGGTCACACTGTCCCATCTTTTGCCAATGGGAGGCCCTTCAAATTAGGCTTCTCATCCTGACACAAGTCCAGCCACATGGTGGTCGTCTGCTTTCTGGTACTACAAAATATTATCACGCTTTTGCCCTGTTCTGTATCTGGCGTCAGGCATTTCTCCGAGGAGTACTGTTTTCTTTGAGTAGGAAATGGTTCTTAAGAGACCACGATCTGAGTACCAGGGGTGCTCATTACCACGGGGCAGGCGAGTTTCTAGGCCTTTTCAGTGGAAAGAGGTAGGAAATGCTTTTGTTTCAAAGAAAAAATATATTCTTAATTTTGATACTTCCAATTTAAAGATCAGCGTTTTTACTTATTTGATTACATACTTGGTTTTCAGCAAAATTCTTATCTCTTTTCTCCTATGCTAAAAATCTTGGTTTCTGTCAGTGTTAACCTAAAATTTTTATTTCTTTCTCTTAGTACATATACAGACACATACATAGGTCGGTAGCTCAGTTTCAGAATGGCAATACCAATACTACCTCGAGCAGTTAGAGGTTTCTTTGCAGTTTGTTTTATCCTTAGGTTATAGTCCTACTAGGGAAGTACAGCCAAAGTTTAATGTCACTTAGTATTAGGCTCACTGTTCCATTTGACATTTTAAGATTCCTTTAGTTGTTATTTTGACTTAGTTTTGTTTTATAATTATATCAAAGGTACTGTCATAGAAATCCACGTTCCGTCCCTGCTCCCCTATGCTCCCTCCTCCACAGGGAGCCATTTTTAATATTTGATCATGTCTTTAAATTCTTCCCCTTTTCTGGGATGACAGTGTGCTACTACACATGCTGTCTCGCATCTTGTATTTAACTTAAACAGTGGTTTCTGAGGTCGCGTCCCAACAGTACAGATAACCCTCAGCCTCTCACAGATGCAAAGGACTCAGCCCTCTGTGCATGTGCTGTAGGTTACTAACTGAACAGTTCTCTGTGGATGGACAATTGGGTTGTTTTCAGCCTCTGCTGTTACAAGTAGTAAAAGCTGCAACGAATAGCCTTTTGCATCTGTCTTTTTACATTTTTGCCAGTGTGTCTTTGTTAGATTCCTCCATGTGGAGTTGCTGGGTCACAGGATATAGGCGTATCCTCAGTTTGTGGGTCTTGATTTGGTTTGACATGTTAGCCGTGGTTCGTCTTTGTTGACGTATGTTGTGGCTTTCCTATAATCTGGCCAGCGAGTTGCTCTAATCGGAGTTTCCATGTTACTTCTCTTCCCCTTGAGGGGACAGAGAGCTGAGTTCTGTTCTCTTCTGTGAAAACCGATGTCTCACTGACCTGGCAAAGTCACTTGATTTCTCTTTGAAGCCCTCAGTGGGCAATATCATCATAAAACTTAACTAATTTTTCTTCTTTTGAAATTTCAGCAAATCCCTTCATGAATACTCTAAGAACTTCACCGTGTCACTTGTCCTAGGCAAGGATGTGATTCCCAGGTGAGTCGGCTGGACGCTTCCTCTAGGGTTGGGGTAGCTGAAAAGACCGAGTACTGAGCCTCAACCCGTTCTTTTGCTAAACAGGTTAAGTGTGACCAATATGGAAGATCTGAAGAAGAGAGTCTTGCGAGTGATCGCTCACTGTAACCGGCCCAAGGTAACCTGTGCCCGGTACGAGGCCCTGCAGGCGTGTGGCCTCCCCAGGACGCTGTATGTGGCTTCAGAGGATGTTTCTAAATTTAAAGCCTCTTAGCCTAGGGCATTTGACGCTGTTGCTGGAAGCTCTTTCTATTCTCTGTAGAGACTTCTATCTGGTGTCCCATAGATGACGTCTAAGAAAGCAAATGGCTAAATCGAGCACATGCAATACCACAATTAGAAAATACTAAAAACCATTCCTGTTCCAATTAAGTGATTTGCTTTCTGGCGCACTTCTTAGCCCTGTTTTGTGACCAACAGTATTCTGATGCCTTTGGTTCCCACGCTTAGAAAATAAGGCTGCCAAATACAGAGTTTAAGGTATATCATTTACAGGGAATAGTATATCTATGCTGTGGAATATTATGCAGTCATTAAAAATGGTGACCTAAATTTATATTTACCATTAGTGAAAGACATCCATAATGCATTGAAAAGTTTGTTTTTGAAAGGCAGGCCTAGATGTGGTTCTCTGAGGTGTGATCCGTGGCAGGAGAGGTTACATGGAGATGTATGAGCTTCAAAAAATACCTCAAAATGTGATTTTGTTTAGATAATAGGATTAGAGATGATTTTCACTTAACCTTTGTTTCCTGACTTCTCGTGTGTTCTTGTTGCTAATTAGGAAAAATATTAAAAATTTTTAATACTTACTCACAATTAAAAAAAAACTACCATCTAATGTCTTAGAGGGAAGAGTAAAACTGGTTTGCAGAATTACCTGAAAAGAATTAAGGGTAATTTCCCCTCAGAATCTGCATGATTTGATTTTTAAATATTGCTTCTAGTGTGATGGCTTCATTGCCCAAGAGACACCTGAGTTAGGCCCACTGACCTCCGGCCTCACTCAGATGTGTCTGTCTGAGCTCTGAGGGGCGCTGCCACCTGGCTCACAGTCCAAAGAGGTCTCTGGTGATGGCAAAGGCCTCTGAGTAACAAGCACACTTGTCTTCTCGGGTCTCGCCCTTAGTACAAGATTCTGCTGCGCGGGTGCTGGTATGAGCTGTTTGGAGGGGACCCCGATAACTTTCCAACGGAGCTGGATGGGGGCGACCACGGAGACCTGACACAGCCTCTGCTCGGGGAGCAGAGTCTGCTGACACACGGGTCCTCAGCTTACAGCTGCTTCAGTGATTCCCCGCTGGACTCCCCCACCAAGTACCCCCATCTCTACCCTCCCGGCAGGATCATCCACCTGGAGGAAGAGGGCACTGCAGGGAGGTGAGTGTGGGCGGGGCCTCGTGTGGCTGCGTCCCCCCACCAGTGAAAGGAACACGATGTGGCCTTGAACTTGACATCACGCTCGGCTCCTTGGTTTTCTTTTTCAGGTTTTCCTGTTACACCACACAGTACACCGCCAGGTGGGCGCATGAGTCAGAATTCAGCAGGCTCCTCATCGGCCCCAAGATGCTGACGGACCACATGCCCGACATCCTGATGAGAGCCTTGGACAGCATAGTGTCCGACAGGGCCACCTGCATTTCCTGTCCAGCCCAAGGGGGCCCGCACGTGGACCTGGTGTGACCAGAGCTGCTGGAGGCCACCCCAGCACGACGGACTCAGACTCACACTGTCCTTAAAGTGACTCAACGTCTGCGCAGTGCCCGTGATGCCGTGCACTGAAGGCACTGGATGGATGGGCACTCAGGTCGCCAGTCTAAAGGCCCGGCTGGTCTGAGAAGCCGTTTCGATTGCGGATTCTGCAGGCTCAGGAGTTAGGAAAGCACGGAGCTCACGGAGCTCATGGCACTGCTGAGAACGAATGTGTGGGAAGCTTCAAGGAGCTGCTTCCCCTGGGGCCTGCTGCCTCCTGGGCACCTGGGAGCCGCCGGGGGAGGGGCGGGAGTGCCCGAGCCAGGTTTATGGCCCTCCCGGGTCTGTGGCCTCCCCCTGCGCAGGCCACTTCTCACTGACAGTCTTGTCCCTGTGGAGATGAGTCTGAACTTGGCAGACAGGTGTACAGTTTATTTTACAACTGGATTTTCCTGGCTACACTAACTGTCCTCAGCTGTGAGGACACGTACTGGGGCTTGCTTCTGGTCATTAAGGGTCGGCCCTGAGCTGCGACTGGGAATCAGGACAAAACCAGCTCAGGAAAGTGAGTGGAGACCAGCTCCTGCCCCGCGCCCCCCCAGCCGCAGCGCCAGGCCCTGGCCCTGTTTACACTGTGTGGTGGTTTCATCAACATCCGGTTGATTTAAACACTCCTTCTGGCTCTTGGAGATGGACCAGTGGATTCAGAGGGAATTTAAAAAGTAAAGCACTTACACGTCACTAGTGTCTACCGTGATGTGCTCTTCTAGTGGAAGTTTCCAGGAAGGGCTTTTACTGGGAGGTTTTACAGCAATCTTTTAAGCATTCTGTCCACTGCAAACAAAATGAAGTCTTAAATTTTCTCAGTCTTGTGGCTAAAGATTGCACAGCTGTCTGATTCCACCCCACCCCCCACCCCGAGATCCCATAAAATGACAGTAAAGGGATTTCTTTAAAAAGCATAAAGTTACAAGAAAGGGGAAAAGAGACAGGAACAATGAGAAGGCTCGAGTTAAACAGAATCCGGAGGGAAGTGGGGGAGGGAGGACAAGCCAGCCCGCCTCCCGGCCCAGATCCCCACGGGCTGCTGACGCAGGGGCTCACTGAGGGGGCCCCTGAAGCTGGGAGAAACTCGGCCCTTCTTGTGCTTTGGGGCGGGGGTGGGGGACACCTGCACAGCTGAGGGCGAGGGAATGACATTCCCCAATTCCTCCCACGTGGCTCCCAGGACCTTAAAGGAGAAAAACCACCAGAGAAATCTGACCTCTAGGGATACCTCCCATCAGGGCCTCTGAGCTGTCACCACCAGACCATGTCAGCTTCTGAAAACCTGCAAAGGGCCATCTGAAGAACTTCGATTGAAATGCCACGGTAACGTCCAGTTGCTGCAAGTTCTATTTCTAAACACGATTCCTGTACACTCAGGGCACGAAGGTAAATGGTCGCAGACACACTTTGAACACTCCCTTCTGAGCCGTGCGCTTGGTTTCCAGTCTGCTTTTGAGGTCCTTAACCTTTAAGCACGAGCCAAGGATGGCCAGTCGCGAGGAACGAGGGACCCAGAGAAATGGAAGTGGGAGAAGCTTCAAACGCCCCCAGCTGCAGCTCGGGAACAAAGTGCTGCAACCACAAAACAGGCCGAAACATGGTATCCAGAGGACAGAACAGATGAACATTAAAAGCACGAAAGATGAATAAAAACGGACACCTGACTAATGGGAGGTAGGAGCTTCCAGATGGAAAGAGGCCACAGAACATGACATCAAAATAAACTCAGGACACACAAGACGGGGGGAAGACTTGAAAATAAAAGTATTCCCCGCAAAGGAAATGGCCAAGTGGGGGAGCTGCCTCCAAAAATCTGAAGTTACTTCCAGCCCGGAATTTTAGAGCCAGGCAAAAATATCAGAGTGGAGTGAAGTTATTTTCAAAGATGTAAGGGCTCAAAAATGTAGGTTTCCTACACATTCCTTTTCAGGAAGCTCTTGAACAATCTGTTCATCAAAATAGGAAGTAAATTTAAAAATGAGTCACGTGTAGGCAATAAACGAACATATTTGAGAAATGGTGGTCAGAGGATTTAGAGACTAGGGAAATTGATGAAATACATAATACATGTGAACATCTTGAGAGATTTAGACAACAGATGGCAGGCCACAGTTAAGTACCCAGAAAACTAAGCCTTATATAAAGATCCCCAAAGAAACCAAAAGTAGTCGTGCGGGCAGGCCAGGTTTGGTGCCACCCAGCTCAGCCGCGTGCTTACGTGGTAATCACAGACACTAATAGTAGCAGCAGACAACACAGGAGCATGGGGAAGGCGTTGGGGGCCAGCGGTGCCCTGGAAGACAGCCCTTGTGTCTGCCGCGACGGGAATGTCTGTTCACGGCTGAAACTGCGAAACCCAACCAGCAATAAAAGCATGTGATTGAGAGTGACCCCGGGACGGGGCAGCAGCTCCATCAATTTTCACCTGCCAGTGATTTAACCAGTCCCGCCTGTGTGGGCAAGCCTCCACACCAGCCCAGAGGCGGCGTCCTGGGAGCTTCCAGTTGGTGGACACATGGATACAGGGAAATGGCATGCTGAGGGAGCATGGAAGTCCCACACCCCTGCCCCGCCCCTGGCCCCACCTGGCATGTCTTTTCTACCTGGCTGTTCCTGAGTTATGTCCTTTTACAATAAGCTGGCAATCTATTAAAAAAAAAAAAAAATTATATATATATATAAAATTTAGGCATATGGAGGCAAATTATGAAAAATTAGTTGAAAGAACTCAAAGTAGTTACATCTGAGGAGGGTAAAAGGAGAAGACTCTTTGTAGCAAACTTTTATAACTATTTGGTTTTTAAACAGCATACTTTATCTTTGGTTAAAACTCAAAAATAATCTTCAAAATAAAGAATATTTAGAAAATGGATTCTAGCATGAACTATTTATAGCACAATTTCCGGTTCCAGAAAGGATCTTAAAATCATACAGTCAACTTCCACCCAGTCAGCTTCCGCCCTACCAAGATGCCAGCTCGAGTCCCAACATCTCATTTTCAGCCCAGAGCTCTAGCCTGAGACGCACGTGCATGCGTGTGCACACACACATGCCCCACGATGGACATCACATGAGTATCTCACCAACGTTCAATAGGTCCAAAACCAAACACCAGGCACTGTCGGCTGATTCATCCATCTTCTTCCCCCTGGGAGGGCCACCCGCTCCCTGTCCCCCCAGCAACGAAAACACTGAAAATATCAACAACGCAGGATTTTAAAGTGGGGCAAAAGCAGGAGGCTGTTCACGAACCTCTCAAGAATTCAAGTATCACCAGTTGTGTGATTCAAGGATTTATTAAGTCATACATGCAAAACATACTGCTAATTGCATTAGCAAAAGATCAATGTAAAAACACTCCACAATTCTGCAACTGTCAATTTAAAAAATTTTGTTCTAGTGGTTGAAAGGTCCAACCTTGTATTCTTGCCAGTGGCTGAGTTTACAGAACTTCGTTACCACGAGCATGGGGTGTACAGCCCCTCACAGACCCAAAGGAACACTGTTAGGCAGGGCAACAGGAAGTGTGTCCACGCGGCGGAGGCAGAGGGGTCGGCATTGGTCAAGGTACAGTGTTGGTGATCTGGCAAGACAGTGATGTTACGAAGTTCATAGTTTAAGAATATCTAAAATATTTTAAAAACTGTAAAGATGCAACACATGATTTTTACACCTAGTTACTAGAAAACTAAGGAAAGCACTAATTAGCTGGAGTAAAGTAACGCGAAAACAGGAATGCACTTCTAATCTACAAAAAAATTTCTAATGCATTATCAAGAAAGATTTTATAATACAAAGAGGCATATTGCTCATTAAGAAGGTTCTATAAGAAAAGCACTAAGTTAGCAACTATGGGAATGACCAGTCAAAGGAATAAATGCCCAATTTCGGGAGGGACTGCAGGGTTAAGAAAAAGCTTAAGAAAACACTTACTGATTAATACCAACTTCTTCACCTGCTGCATTTGACAGAAATTAACCTGTTTAAAATCTTACCCGTGACACTTTTATTCGGTTTAATTATTACGTGTACAATGTAGTGTAAATCACTTCATATTCTGTCGAAATACTGTCTTCATCCTTTGATCACACCACGTGTTCCCACACTCCACCCCAGTGCACCCACGGCTAGCGCAGACTTCATCAGAGGGAACACGGAAGAGCTCTGTTCAAAATTTCAGTAAAAGCTAGTACACTAATTTTTAAAAAAATCTTCCTACAAAATCAAAAAGACTGATCCATTAGGACACACAGTACAGCGCAAGGGATGAACACGGGCTGGAAACTTAGCGATGCGTTAGTTAAATGGCAACATTTCATGAAGGCGGCTGCACTGCTCGCATGGGAAACGAGTTAGAGTGTCTGCCTGTCCTAACTTCAGACGCTACCGTCTTCTTAAGACAAAGTTCTTTAAACGGTTTAGTGCTTAGTGTTCTTAGCACAACAATGCAGTTTAATTCACAAGGTATTTTGGCAACTCTTAATCTGAGCAAGAATAGGGGCTTTTGAAAAATAAGGCTTTAAGAAAGCGTGTCATTTAGGGCTAAATTTTAATAGAATGTGAAAGTTTGAACTCTTACACTTTAAACAAAACCTAAAAATTACTGATTGATTCAAAATGGTTTTATGGAAAAACTAATCTGTAACAAAAACTTGGCATTGAGTGCGAAGGCTCCATCGTTTCTGAGCAAAGCGTACAAAGGTTCCGAGGGGACAGGGCAGCAGGGAAGAGGGACCCGGATGTTTACAACAGCAGGCACTTTCTCTTCCTTTTCTTGACAGGAGGCGGGCAGAGAACGGCGCGAATGGCTTCGTCGAACACTGTCTTGAGGCCTCGCTGCGTGAGAGCGGAGCACTCCAGGTATTTCACAGCACCTGCCAGGGACAACCCCTTATAGTCACGTGGCAATGCGCGTGCCAACCCCCCACCCGGCCCTGCCACCTGCTGGCAGGTGAGCGCAGTGGAGCGGCTTTTAACCCCCACCTCCTCCTTTGGGCCTTGCTCAGCCAGCTCCCCAGAGGTGAGCCAGACCGAGCTGAAGGAGCTGAAGGAGCTGAAGGAGCTGAAGGAACACTCTCCACCCCCCCAAACCAGACTCCAGCCTGTGTCACGAAAATAAAAACACGTGCAAAGCAAACATGAAAAATGCAGTGCGTACCAATCTCCTTAGCCATGGCTAAGCCCTGCGGGTAGGTGATGGGTGTCAGCTTCTTCTCTTTCAGTTTCTCAATCGTGTCTTTATCATCCCTAAGATCAAGCTTAGTCCCCACCAGGATGATGGGAGTGTTGGGACAATGGTGTCGCACTTCAGGATACCACTAGATGTAGAGAAAGGAAAAAAGTTACGATACTCTCCTTTATGAACTTCCTTCACCGAAATGGTATCCACACAGTTGCCAAAACGTATCCACCAGCCCTCAGTCACTGCATCTCTACACAGCCAACCTGCAGAAAACTGCGCCCGCTCTCCAGCCCTGCTCACACCTTCCATTCACATCTTCAAGGACCATGGGACCTCCTGTTCCTCCCGGACCATGGGACCACCTATGGACGTTTCATTAGCAAGCAGGACTCCCAGATTTACGACCCTACAGGATGGGCGTTACTTGTAAGAGCAAAGGTGCCCCCCTAAACCACTGTTTTTGGTAAAACGAGTCAAGTCTTAGGCCATCTCGGGAAATACTCCATGTAGTCGTGGATGAGAATAAACGATCTGGACTCAGGTCTCAGCTCTGCCCCATCGCCCCACGAGCATGACACTGGAATGGCATCTCGCATGTGTCGTTTTCACTAAGTTTGTAAAAGATGCGGCAGTGGAAAGTAACGGTCGTTTTTATTAGACCAACTCCAAAGTGCTTTGTTAAATTTTAACAAGGAACACAGCACTTCTGAATCAGTCTGAAACTTGGGAATTCTATCTACTGAAGTCATATACTTAAAAAATCGATTATCTACCTCAGCAAAATTACTCAAACCAATTTAAATACTGAAAATTTCTATCAATAAATGATACTTCTTAATGTTTCTTCCCGAGAGTCACATTATGTAACAAAATATTTTTCTAAAAAACCCTCCCACTTACCTTTGCGCGAACATTTTCGAATGATGCAGGGCTCACAAGAGAAAAGCAAATTAAGAATACATCCTACAAAAAGGAAACACAGGGGTGTTTAGAAAACGCTCCAACGATGCCGAATGCACTCTGCCTAAGTGTTGCTGGAAACGAGCCAGCGCAAGGGCGTGGACTGTGCACCCGCAGCCTGTGTGGAGGGTGTGCTCCCCAGTGCCCCCTTCGGCCATGTCATATGGCTCCCAAGTCAGAACCAGCTGTGTGTGAGAAGGGCGAGCGGAGCTCAATCTGCTAGAAGTTACTGAGGCCACGGAGACGTCAAATTGGACCCCTGGGAGGCCTGTCATCATTCCCAGCTCCCACCGGGAACCTAACGGTCTGTTATACACAGGGACAAAATCGAGTGTCAAGGTGCTCCGCCAGTATTCCATAAAATTTGGTCTCTGTTTCTCAAAACGTTATCTACAAACAGTGTGCCTTTCACTAAGCTCCTCTTCTGCGTGTTGAGCATAAACACTTCTAGATGATCACTAGGTTCCAATTAAACTGCTTTTTAAAGAACTGCCATCGCCGTCCCTGGCCCAGACGGGGCCCATGTATTTGCTAAATGAGCACGTGACGGAGGCTGGCCGAGTGCGCAAGTAGCGTCTTCCCTGCTGTCAAAGCCCCTGCCCCCCTGCATATGGCCTCTGGAGATCTGCACCCAGGGGAGCTGGAGCTGAAGGGCAGACTCAAAGGAAAAAGCAGGTGCAGATAAATACCTGGAAGAATTTCTGGCTAAAAGTAAAATATTCAGGGTTCTCCTCCCATTCTGCATTGTGTAAAAAGTCTCAATATTTACCTGGGTTAAAATGCCCAAGAGTTTCTAAAATGCTAAGTTTATAAAACATTTTCCTGGAAAAAGGCAGCTACGCTACTTTGTGAAATGCACCCAGTTCCCCAGCTAACACTTTCAGTCATGCAGCTGGCATCGTACCTGTAAGGGAAGGAAACACCCCACACGACAGCCGAAAATGCCAGCGCATGCACAGCTTGCCCAAGAATCACCGTGCCATCTCGCACCTGAGCTGATTGTGGCATTTGGAAGCAGGGCGAGGTTAGCTCTCCAGCGCCGCACAGCCACACCCGACAGGCCCGCGGCACGGGGAGGGACAGCACAGCGGCAGGAGAACCTGGCAGCCCTGGTTAGGCCAGCCCGCCAAGCGCCAGCAGCCCGGGGAGGGGCCCTTCCTAAAAGCGCCCCCCGACTCGGGAGGAGGGAAAAGGCAGCTCATGAACCGCTTCAATTCAAGCTAGTAGGTCAACTGTCACGCTCTAATGACAGCAGTTTCATCAAGCGAGACCCCAACCTTGAGTGAATTCGATAGAAAACACTCAAGGAACATGAGGCTCGACAGGAGATCCTAGGAAAACTACGTGAAACGACAGAATAGATAAAGCTCGAAACTGAAGTCGATTGAAAGTTTTACATACGGCAATCGGCTTGTCTTTGCCCCTGGAGGTTTTATCCTTACCATACGTTTCTCCAACCTAGTAATGCATGAGAACGTTGTTGGAATTTAGTAGAAACTGAGGAAAATAAAAATCAATACAGCCTGTTACTTATTCTTCATTAGAGTTCTTTCTCAACCCTCCCAAGGTTCTGAGCTGAAAGCAGATGGGGATCTAACAGGTGTATGGATGCCAAATGCCACTGAACCACTCCATCGACCAACCTGCGAAGGTCAGTGACGGTGAAGACGGAGGTCAGGGGAACACTGGGAGACAAACACAGGTGCTGCTCGTGGCAGCAAACGGGGTTCCTCCCCAGCAGAGCTGAAAACATGCCAAGGAAGCTTATGCTTAGTAAGGAAGTGTTAAAAAAGTACCCTTCCCTCAACAACGGCATGCTCATGCGCAGTCACTGGCATCCGTTAGTGACGGGCACACCCTTCAAAGATCTCTGTCCGAGTTCTCAGACACGAGCCCGGCTGAGGCCACGGGCTCTCCAGGACAGGGCCGCGGCTGGGAGCTGTGAACGTGACAAGTGTCCCGTGGTGCAGAAATGCCGGTCCTCTCCTCCCCCGAGTTCGGGGACCTGCATCACTGACACGAACAGTGTGCTGTACGGAGAGCTCTGTTCCAGCCCTGAGGTGTGGAGGTGGTGGCCCAGGAGGGACAGCGTTTCCAGTGTGTTTATTACGATGCTTTCAGTTCTCTCCTTTGTCCAATAAAAATGGAAAGACTTGCTCTTCCAACAACACAGCCCTGGAATTCTTTTAAGAGCCAGACAGAATTATTATAATTCCATGTCATTCAGGCGTCTCTGATTTACAATTCAAAGAGACTGGTAAAGGTTCCGTAACTATCTAGGTTTAATCTGTGAACTATTTTTGAAGATTTGTCCTCCCAAGGCCTTGATGTGATGCCAAATGTCACTATGACACTGGGTCTCATGGGGATTGGCCACAAAAACACAGCTTCGAAATATCCTCTAGCCACATCTGTTCTACCCTTTTCAATGTCTAAGGACATCTTTTTTGATGAAGAAATGCGCTTTCCATCCTACATCAGTGCTACACCATCTGCCCGTCCCTCCTCCTTCCTTTGTCCTCCCCCGGCCTAAAAATGGCTCTAAGGCAGCAGCCTCATGCTTCTGACACTCGTCTTCTAGATTCGATCGTTCCGACCTTGCTGTCCGTGCTGACACCGTGCGCCTGTCCTGTAACACTCAGACTCCTCGGCACAGCCACCTGCGGCGCGACCCCACTCTCCCTCCCTGCCAGGTCAGCATGCGCTCTGCAGCCCCCCACTCGCCTTTCCTCTGCGCGGGGACGCCACGCTCCTCACACAGCCAGGCCACTTCTGACCACATCGACTCCGGCGGGCCTTCCGGGACCTGTGAGACCCCTGTGCCGCAAGCCTGTTCTCCACCACTAGTCAGAGTGACATGCGCAGGGCTCGACACACTGGTCAAAATCACAGCAGTTCTTACTGCCACCCCCTGGCCTGTCTGGCAGGGCACAGAGAGGCGAGGCTGCTGCCAGCAGGAGCGCGAGCTGAAACCTCACTACGGAAGCACGATCGTTTCTCCTGCTTTCATTTTCTTCTCTTCCAAATGCTTTCCACCTGTTTTCACTTACAGGCTTAGGTTTTCTAATGCGGGCATTTCATGCACCAGGACGCATAAACAGCATGCGTGTCATCGGTGTGGCGCTGCTGCGGAACCGAGCTGGGGACAGCGAGAAGAGCAGCCCCCGCGGGCTGGGAGCTGGCCTGGTGCCCGCAGTGCCACCACGGGGGTTTGTGAGAAACAAAACCACCTCCTGGAACAGACATCAGGCCAGGGCGCCGTGTGACCGTGCTGACGCCGAGACCACGGTGAAGCAGTGAAGAGCGGACCGCTTCACAACCTTGTCCGAGCACAAACAAGTACAAGGTCACTGCAAACTACACGACACCGAACATCCCATCAGCCGAGTGCGTGACTCCTCCCGTACCAATCACAGCTTCAGCCTCGCTTCACTCCACCTTCTAGGGGGGCCGTATTAAAATGCCCAGCCAGAGTTACGCTGTCCACGCCGGGGAACCCCGCTTCCTGGAGCCCGCAGCGGCATAGCCCAACGCGAGCCCGCCTCTCACCGACAGGCCCCCAAAGTGTGTCTCCCTTGGGACAAGACCAGCCAGTTCTGTTTGTTTGACCACAGGTGTGTTTCCCGCAAGCTTGGGCTGCGGGACACTGAAGCTGCAACGGCCAACCTAACCAAGCCCCGACCTTTCGGAAATCCAAACAGCTAAGCTCAACGCTGGGTTTCCTTTTTGCCTGACGTTGCAGCAATCTAGGCCGGAACCTGAAAACCCTTCGCGAGTCAGAGCACGCACAGGAAATGAACACACGGGCATGACACACCGGGTCCTGGCTGGCTGAACGAGTGCGGGGCGCGGGGCTCCCGGAACACGCAGGCCTCGGGCGTTGTGACTTCGGCAAGTCCAGGATGTTCCCACTCGCGTCACTAAATACTGGACAGGTGGGCAAACTCAGGCGACCAGACACAAGGCGAGATGCTGGGCCTGAGTGCTACGCTCGTCACACCTTGATTCTGAGCACGCCAACTCGAGAGGAACATGCAGAAAAATGAAATATTTTTAAAGGAGAATATAAAGATAATGTATTAAAGGACAGGAAAGCCCTAAGAATTACTTAATTTAGAAAAATAACTCGAAGGGCAACTTGTACTGAACATGACCACTTGCTCACTGCCCTCTGAAGAACGAAGTAGAAGCTAATGGTATAAACGTGTAACTCAGCTACACAGAGCTACCCAACGGAGAATGACCAGCATCCAATGACCACAGGAAACACGTCTCTTTTAAGGACGCCTCAGATAAGACATCTTCCTACTGGCCCTTCCAGAGTGGGTCTGAGCCCAGTCATGGATGAGCCACATGAATCGGCCTGCAGACCGAAGAGCCAACTACTGGAGACCACGCTCCGCTCAGCACCAAGTTTAGAGTTTTCTTCCTCTTTGCCAGTAAGAAACCAAGGTGCCCACCTGTAACTGCCAGGGCCTGCCCCTCTCCCCCAGCCCCCTGTGGGGCTGCATGGCTACCAGGAGACCTTCCAGGTGACAGCACCGCAGCGTCAGGGACCAAGAGAGCTTCGGCCAAGAGAGCTTGCTCGTCTCAGGGGAGTCCAGGTGGGCATAGTTATGCCACCAGTTGCGTCTCCCCATCTTTGCTCCCAAGCACCCCCACGCCCCTGCCGGCACCCAGTGCAGTACTCCGGTGAGCCACCTGGGGCAAGAGTCACGTCTTACTCCCTTTCTGCTGTCCAGTCCTGGCAGCTCACACAGCTGCAACATAAAGTCCTAGCCCTAGGAGGACAACACCCACCTGGCTTTCAGGCCTCGCCACTGCAGCCTGATTCAGGCGGTCACTATCTGTGTGTTCTTTAGCACACAAAGTGGGAATCTTGCTAAGTCACCTTTGCCTTACTGTGACTGTCTCAGAACAAAAAGGGCACACCCAACCCTGTGAGTCACAGGCAGTGGCTGAGTGACGCCCCACCCTTCCCGATGTATCCAGTGGGTTGGAGACTCCTACCAATCAATGTTTGCAAGACCATTTAAAATTTGGAATTATTAAGCACCTACCAGGTACAGAACAATTTCCTAAACATACTGAAGAATCTGAACCATTTGGTGATTTGGTGATTTAACTCTTACTCACAGTTAATTTTTAGCTGGAGATTAACTGAGAAACCGTGCGATTCAAACCTCCCATTTTATAGTCTGGGTTTTCATTTAGCACTGTTACCAGAATTCACCCAAAGGACAATCTGCAAAACCTACAGCTCAAAGAAACTGTATGTGACAATTCCTCCAGCAGGAAACAAAGACAATGACTGCTGAATGGAAAAAGCTGTATTCCAAGGTTTAAAACTATCATCACGACACAGGAAGTTAATTTAAAAACGTCTTCCTGTGACACTGACCTTAACCTCCGGCCTCCCGGCTTGCTGAGAGGATGTACAGCTCGCCCGAATCTGGGTTCGGCTCTGAACTGAGGCGCTCTGCAGATCTGTCAGTACGTCCACACAGAGCCAGGAGGAGCCCTAACAGCAGCGACACTGGAGTGTCTGCAGCGTGCCTGCGCTGTTCTATGTGCCTTACATGTGTTAACTCATCCGATCCTACACCAAGAGAGAGGTCAAGACCAGAGAGAAAGAAAGCTTCCCAAGGCCACGCAGCCAGCAAGAGGGAAAGCAGGGATCTGAACCTGAGGAATTGGCTCAACTGCCTCTATGCTGTGTTTGCCAGTTAGTCACTAAATCTCCAAAGTTGTTTTAAAAAGGGAAGACACGTATCGATCCAAGCAAATGATACAAGACAACTGCTTAAAGAGAAGTGGCTTCTAAACTCTGCACGAGCTATTACTCTAATTAGCTTTGGTAAATTTAGCTGACATAAAACCAAAACTAATCTATAAGTTTTTCTGACTGTACACAGTGAACACATTTTTATAAACCTGAAAGCTCAATCTACATTTAGGTACCAAAGCCATAGAAAATAAGCATGTATTTTATAGAAAAATAGTACTAAACCCATAAGATGAGTTACTAACTTGATCTAAAGAAACCACAATCTTAAACTGCTTAATTTGATTCTGTGATGCAAAAATGCCACAAAGCAAACCATCCTGAAACTAACTGCTGCTAAAGCTGGTTTGCAAAAACAAAGCAGTAGCTATTTCATATAGATGTCCTAAAACTAAAAGAAAAAATGTTAAATACACAGCACAGTACTCAATAACTGGTAATGCTCAAAAACTAAAAACAAACAAAAACCTGGTTTGCATCTGGGGGGATATGCACTACTGGACTAATTTAAACTTTATTTGCTATTACTCAGTATACCCCCGAAATGGCAATATAGGCAAATCCACAGCGCTATGCAATAATTAAACATTCAGGAACTGCACATTCTAAAGGACACGGCAAACATCAGTCATGAGCCTTACTGTCTGTGGATAGGAGAGGGGACGTAATCTGTCGTAATCTTCTTGTCCAGCCGTGTCCCACAAGCCCAGATTCACCGGTTTTCCATCTACCATAACATTGGCAGAATAGTTGTCGAAGCTGCAGAATGGAGGAAAAATGGTTAGTCTTTAGCCCTGGAGTGTAAGGCACAGGTCCAGGACCTGAGTCGCTGTCCTAGCCGGGGACCCAGAGAAGGTGGTGCTTGGTGCTGGAAAGGCCAGCAGAGGGCCTGGGGCCACCAGGCCAGCAAACGGCCCTGCCTGCAGACATGAGCAGCAGCCTTATGAGCTAAGAAGTGGAGGGAAAACCGGGTGGAGTGTGAGGGGAAACAACTCACAGCTTGAGAAAAATGCGAGAAATACAAGAAAGCTACTAAGTTTAACTGGAAAAAACTGCTGTCAGCAATTCAAAAGCTTTGCCTTTAATAAAGAGAACAAGAAGATTTTCCTCCCCAGGAAGAAATAAAGTATAAAATTAGTCCCCCTTTCAAATCCCACTTGAGTTTTGCACAGACACGTCTGACTCATTGTCAACAAGATGGCACAGCACTGGAGCTGTATGTCCACAACGCCCACCTGAGTGGAGGGTGGTAATTAGTCAGGCCTTGGTCATCCATGCCAGCAACTGAAGGGCAATGAATGGCTCTGGGAAGCTATCATGTAACACTTTCAGAGTGGAGGTGCCCGATTACATGTGTAATTAAATTAATTTGAAGCTGCTATACACAAATTAGTTAACCATAAGAAGCAGCCTAGAAAAGCCTATGGGCTGACAAGGGGAAAATAAAGCTGGCATTAAAAAATTACCATGAGTTTCACAGAGTAGTTCATTAAAAAGAAAATCTGGCATTGCAATTCAAACTAGGCAAGTACCAAACAGAACACAATACGTCAGCCTTGAAAATAAAACTCCAGAATTCATTTTTACATACTCTGAAGACTAAAACGTAGATCTTACTACAGTGGGACAGCAAAGCCAAGGTCTGATTAAGGGTCCAATGTGGTTCATAGAATTTGATGAGCAAACTAGCTTCCTTAAGGGAAAGGTCTGATGTGTTGTAATTCTGCCTCCCCGAGAAAGGATAGATTATTCAATAAATGGTACAGTGACTCTTTTTTTCCATCTGGGGAAAAAAAAAAATCAGGTGTCTGCTACATACTGTATCAAAAAATAAATTCTAAATGAATCAAAGATAAAAACTTTAACCACGAAAATCCCAGAAAAATTGTTAGAGAATATTTTTGCATCACTGAAGTTGTAATGGTCTTCCTCAGTGAGACATAAAACTCGGGGAAAGGGGTTAAAGAAGACACTATAACAAAGTTCGAAGACAAATGAAAGAAGGATTAATATTTTTATATACAAAATTTCTACGAGAAAAATTTTCAGTAGAAAGGCAGAGTTTCAACAGGCAAGACTATAAGTGGGCAGTAAACATTCAGAAGGTTTAAACCTCACTAATGATCAGAAATGCAAATGATGAGGTAACTGTTCAATTCCTGTGGCCACAGCATGTATTAAAAGGGGCTGTTTTAGTCACAGCTGGTCCAAATGATAGCCTTTGAGACAGCAAATGGGTAGTGTCCGTCAAAATTAAAAACATTCATTCCCTTTTGATTTGGCACGATTCCACTTCTATCACGTGCACAAAGATGCATGAAGGATGTTCAACACAGCACTGTTTGTAATGCCAATGGGAAAACAAGGCCTAAATGACCAAAAGTTATATTAACTACAGTAGCTCAAAGTCATTAACAGCTGTGACTTAGCTATCTACACATGTAGATAAGAGAAGTCCCCACCATAAATTCAGGACAGCATGGACAGTGGATTCCACTTACATTCAAATATGCATAGGACACTTCAGGGAGCAGGTAAGCGTGAGAGCTGAGCCTGGGAAGGTGAGCGTGGGGGTGGGGGAGCTGAGGTGTCTCCTGTCTAGTGGGCTGGCAGCCACGAGGGCAGAGCTCAGCAGGGCCGCAGGGCGATGTGCTCAGACTCAGCTGGCCCCACGGGGCTCCCCAGCAACCCCATCATCGGAAAAGCACTTTTCCATCTCCACCCAACTCTGCTGCCAAGGGCGAGCAAGCAGCTCAATCCCGGCCTCCTACATGCCTGCCCCTCCCAACACACACACCCTGGTTTCAATCCAAAGCCCCAGGACGCAACAGGGACGTGTAACCAGACTACCTGCCGGAAAAGGCCAGTTCAAACATGCCCCAGTTCCTTGATCGTTCTTCACGCACACGGTCCAGAAAGCCAAACTGACCCGACACCTACAATATCCAGTCTCTGGAATTAGTTTAACTGCATTTTGTTTCCTGAATGTCTAAAAATCAATGAGGAAAGCTGTTTCATCACTATGTGGAAACTTTAAATATTTTTTTAAAAGCCCAAATACCTTATAACTAGACTCTGGTGAGTGTTTAAGAAGAAAATCAACCACATGTGTTCACGTAAGGATGAAGAATGACTTTATAGAAAAGCAAAGGTCAAAGGTGTCCAAAAACTCAACACAGACAAGTTAATTTCCAGTTTAATTCAAGATACTTACACGGTGGGGATGTATTCTCCAGGAAACGCATTGGTCGTGTAACTGATCAGTAGGCAAGTTTTACCTACAGCTCTAAAGAGAGAGGAAAAAAAGTGTAAGCTGCTTAGTCGACATGAATGTGATCCTAGTTTTCATCATTAAAATAATTTATAGAAAAATCAAGGAGTACACACCAAGTACTTAGCATTTAAAGAAACCCGTTTCTATAACCTTTTAACACTACTAGTATATTTTTATCCTGAGGTTTAAAGGAAACAAATGAGAATTTCTCATAAAGGCAGAGAGTCAGGAGCCTTCCCATTCTGTTTAGGTATGTAATATGAGCACTAACAGCCAAGAAATAGTTATTAAATAAGCACAAAGTTCAAGAGGAACAACACTTTAAAACTGAAAGTGTTTTCTGTGACCATCTGCAGAACTCTTTCATCCAAGAATCTTCGATTCCACCCCCAACTCACTTCGATAAACACTCATATGCAAACGCGCTTTCCTCTGCAACTTCCACTGTGTTGCTCAGGAATGGATTCTGCTGCCTGGCTGAGCGGCAGCTCAAACCCCACCACTTCCCCCTGTCAACCCTCCGGCAGTCGGCACCGGCTGTTACAGGGCGCTTAGTCACAGCCACCGCACGGAACTAGCACGGAACTAGTCTCGCTTTAATTCCTGGCCACCTCCCCAGCCCGCCCCTCACATACCGCCACAAGCTTTCAGAGCAGCACACACAATGTAATACAGACATGCTAACTAATGGCTCAGGGACGCTGGAGTAAACTTCCCGGACCGCTGCAAAGAGGAGAGAGTGAGAGAACCACGCAGAACCCGGCAGAACCCGGCCGGGGACCGGGGCCTCCTGCGCGCCTGGAAACCGCACTGTGCGCAGTCAGGCAGAGGTCGGAGTGGGGGTGGGAGTCTCCCAACCACTTCCATTTTTCCGCAAAGGAACATCCCCTAAAAATTAAGATTACTGCACCATTGGCCAAAAAAGTCTCCAAATTTTCCAGCGTTCAGAGGGTGACTTCGGGGGTTCTAGAGCCCATGTCCCTGGCCTCCTAATGGCTCACCAAACGCACTCCTTACCCACAGGGGCAGGCACATCGCCGCCGCCCCGCCGGCCTACCAAGGTTACCGTGATACACTGGAGTTCTGAGCTGTAAGATTTCATCGTTCAGCCTCAACTACTATAAATCAGGATTCACCATAAAGAAGTTATTTAGGTGCTTTTCTATTTCCCTGTGCTCCTAAGTTTAAAGCAAAAACTTCTCGATGAGGGCAGATCACAGGCTCAGCCAGTCTTGCTGCTTGCCTGTTTCACTCATAACATTACTAAGGGCTTAACAGAAGTGGGAACTCCCCACCCTACAGACCTCCCGGAGTAAAACATTACATCACCGGAGGTAGCTTTCAACTCCCAAAGGCTTTCTAAACAGAGATGACTCACACAGGCCATACGTTTTGTTAAAGGCTTAGAATGTCAAAATAAACCTGTGGGAGCAGGAGCCCAAGATCTGCAGTCAGCGCCCTGGGCCTGAAGCCCACCCATGGCCAGCTCCGTCACTCGCCAGTTGGGATTTTGCAGTGAGTTTCAACTTTCTTATGCCTCCTGTATTCTCACCTGTGAGACAGACACAAAACTACTAACTCCATCACAAACCTACTGTGAGTATTAACTCGATTTCAATGTGTACCAACAAACTGTGCACGACGCCAGGACATGTACTAGGTGCTAAAGACCACACGAAATTCATGCAGTTATTCAATTCAAAAATGAAGGATGAGGTCATGACATAAGTGTTAGCAAAGACGCTCTGGAAATGTACAGTAACGTGACCTAAGCTAGTCTTGGGGGTGGTCTGAGGAGGTTGTGACATGTGCTGAGACTTATGAGGAGAGGGATATGCTACCAAGGAATGTTCCAGGCAAAAGTGACAGGCTATGGGGAGGCCCAGAATTCAAAGAAGCCCAGTAAAACGGAACAAAAAAAAAAGGGGGGGGGGAGTGGCAGAGGAAAATCTGAAGAGGTTGTCATCTCTCCTTGTTAAGGACGTGGGACCTGATCCTACTTGGGAAGTCACGGAAGGTTTTTAGTTACCAAGAAACCATTAGATTTGCATTTTTAGAGGAAGCCTCTGACAAGGCGTGGAAAGAAGACTGAGCGAGGAAGCTGGGACTTGAGGCAAGAAAATAAGGAAGCAGCAGCTGCTGCTCTGTTCAAGGAGCCAGCCATGGTGGCCTGGGCCAAGAAGGGGGCTTCCCGGGGAAGAGAAGTGGGCCATTTCGAGAGCTACCGAGACTGGCAGCAGAACAAGCATGGCCCGGGCATGGGTTGGGTGTTTGGGTGTAGTGGCTGGCAGCCCAGGAAGAGCTGAGTCTAAGATCAGAATAAGTGAATCTCTTCAAAATTATAAATGTTGTGTAAAAATGTTAATAGTTATTGTCACTTAATGTCCAGGAAAAGCGGCTAGAACGATTTTAACTTTTATGTTAAAATGCAGTAGCACTTCCTTTAAGATCCTGCCCTTCTATGGATAGAAGGAGCAAAGCCATTACTATAAATATGACCAACAGTGTCTTAAACGCCCTAAAATTTCTTTTCCTAAAACTTCAACCTCAGCTGAGGCATTATCTTTTGAAAGGTTTAACTATAAGGAAATTCAAAGTAAAGACAAGGCCTGATAGCAACTGAAATTTTATTACCAATCTTTTGCTATAAATCTGTGTTCTATAATAAAATTATTAAATTATAAAATTGTAACTTTTTAAATGAGTACATGTCCAACCTTTGATTTAAATATTTACTTAATTTTTAAAACAGATACAAAGAAAAAGAAAAGGTTATCTACCTCCCATTAGTGGTGTATTTATCCACTCCTTTTAAACACACTCCACAAATAAACGCCAGCGGCCAAAGTCAACATCGGCTCTAGGCAAAGTCATAGCTTCTCCCCACAAGAAAGGAACCGTATTTGGTCACGGACTGGACTGATGCTGCTGCAGAATTTCTGGAAGTTACTATTTGCTTTGGAATTTCCAATTTTATATATTTAACTGTTCAGTTCAACCTCTTTTTGACCTCTGAAAGATGCTGTAACTAGAACATGAGCCCACTGGAAGGAAGTTCGCGTGAGCACATTTTCTTTAACCGACCTGTGCCTCTGCTCTACGGAGTAGAAATGCCCAAGATTAAAGCCAATACCTTACGTTCCTATTATGTTCTTCATTTTTCCATTAGAAATCTAAGGAAACTTTTTACTTAAAATTTTTTTGGTAATTTTCAGTGTTAATTCTTGAAATCTATAAACCAAAACTAAAAACGAAACAAAAAACAAAACAAAAAAAACAATTACTCTAGAAACATTCGTGATGTCCTTAGGTTAAAAAAAAAAAAAGAAAAGATCCAGGAACTCAAAATTTTTAAAAAGACCTTGAATGAAAGTCCTCAATTTACACTGAGAAAGAGGTGTGGGAACCTTAACAGTATGTCTTCAGCATATGCTTAACTATGCAGAGAATGTGTTCAGAAAATAGATGAACAGGTTAGTTTCATGCTACAAAAATAAAAAATCCAATCTGAAATTCTGAGGTTTTGCTACAAACAGAAGAAAGCACAACTAACTTATAGAAAGCCCCCTCTTATCACAATTGGAGGCTTTGAAAAATTCAGATTCTGTGTAGTTTCTAGAACAAAGATAGTATCCATACTAGAGTTGAGTATGAATTCAGTAGCCTTTACTCTAGACCACCCTTCTAGAATAAGCCTAACCTGGGGGCAGCTGATAACTTGAATCAGCTGGAGATAGAGTTCAAAACAAGAATTTATATCTACCTGTATATCATCTTCCTTCTCCTTCAAAATCAACCCTATTAACTCCTGTTAAAATATCCCCTCTGATAATGGGAAGATATATATGATAAACGGATAGAGCAAAATGTTGATTACAGAATCCAAGTGGTAGGTATATGTGTTCCCTGCATGATTCTTTCAACTTTTCTATATGTTTCAAATTTTTCATAAGATGTTGGAGGAAAAATATTCCTTCTGATAGCATCTCGTAACTGCCAATCAGGAATCCGTAGCAGGATTCCTGATAAAACAGCTCCTTTCTAAGAAGACTCCCATGGTAAGACAGAGCCACTTGGTGATGCAGAGTGCTAAGCCCTAAAAGTACTAAGACATTAGATGACTAAAGCAAAAGACATCGTAAAAGGTGGATTTAAGGTTTCTAAAATGGATTTCTGATCCTTCAGCACTAAGACATCCCAAACTTTTACTGGGCTTATCATTTGAAAAATTTTAAAAAGCACTATGTATATATAATTTTACCAACCAAAATCAGAGTCAAATACTAAACCTACGTTTGGAAGCCAGTGCAGAATTCAAACACCTTTACAAAATGTGGAAACTTGTGCCTCAAGACAAAAATACGCAAAGACGATTCATGAAGCTTAGGGAAACTCATGTATCACGCAAGGGTACATGAGTATGCAAGGAGAGTGGAGCCTGGCACATATACGTTCCCATGAAGATGACACCATGGAAGGCATTTATCATGCTCAACTAAAGAAATTCCTGGACAACAATATCTAAATTAGATACTGGGCTAAAGGGACCAGTAGCCCAATAGAGACACCAGTTTGTATAATGAGTGAAATTACGGTTTTAAGTCATTCACTCCCAGCCTTCTAGTAAACCAAAGCCAAAACACTGGTAAAAATGGTTTACAAATACTGGAAAGTGAGATGCTGTCTTACCTAAGTAAAGCTGACAGAAAATCTTGGGGCAGAGGTCCCCCAAACAACAGTGACAGACTCTGTGTTCAGGAAAGACTTAGAATAAAAAAGTTATCAAATTTTATCTCATTTTATACTCAATGGAAGTTAAATCACAAAATAGGAAATAATCCATTAGAGGAATATGGGCTAATGGGCCCCAGCTATAACATAGTTACCGCACGGCTTTTAACCATAATTCCCAGGAATATTTTTAAAATGAGGAAGCTTCCAATTTCCTTCTCGGCTTTAACTGCCTTTAATTGCCTGCAATTCCACACAACATTAAGTGACTCGTTAGACAACCCCCCCCCAAAATTGAGACTCATACTTAACAGCTCCAACAAATTTGTAATAAAAGAACATTCCTACTGTATCACCAGGAATATATTTTATTTGGGTGAAAGCAGAAAAATATTTTTGGTATGGAAAATTAAGTTTTGTACTGAATGTTACATATTGTCCGTTATTTGAAATAGTACAGCTGAAAACTTTTTGTAAAGGTACATTTCACTTCTAATATCTCAGCCTCAGTCAATATCAATGTCAAAAACAGCATTAACAAACTCAAGGCCAGGAAGTGTGTTTTATGCCTAATACTCCCTTCACAGAGCCTAGCAGTGCTTGAGAGAAATAGAAGCAGCAATAATACTGACAGCTGGCACTTAAAAAAGTACTTGGTAGGGCCAGGCACCTGCGAGGCACTTCACATCCAGCATCCCGTTTAACTCTCCATACTTCCCTTTGCCACTCTCATCTTGGGGGGTGAGTGATATGCTCTGGGTTTCCCCATGAGGAAGGATCCAGATCCCATAGCAGGCATTGAACAAGTATGGAGACTGGGTAAATAAGCCAACACAAACGGTAGAGGTCCATTTTCTGTTTAAAGAAACTAAATATTTCTGCTGTGCTTATGTTTTAGTTTTAGAAATTTTCAAATAGGAATATTACATACTATGGTTAAGTATTGAATTGGCAGCAATTCGC